TAACTCAGATTAATATTTTCTTCAGACCCAATACTTAGAAAAGTGGGTATATGAAATGAGTATGGTTAACATGAAATGTGTATGGTTAACATGAAATGAGTATGGTTAACATGAAATGTGTATGGAATGTTTAGGATGAGAGTACAGTGAAGTATGTTATAGTCTCCCAAATATTGTCATGTGTATGTGCTTTGAAAAACTGAATAAAAATATAAATTAAAAAAAAAAAAATTGCTGGGCATGAAAAATCTAATGCAGATATTATACAAGGATTGGCCTTGGGGTCTGGCCCATTCCCCTGGATCTTATTTGGAGAATATTTTGCCATGATTGCTTAGATATCCAGGTGAGTGATACAGGTCCTCTAGGCCTCTTGTATTAATTAATCTGAAAATTCTCTATCTTCAGAATATGTCATGTAGTCGTGATAAAAAGTGTTATGCTGAATTACTTTTATGAGAAAAAGATAAGTATTTGGTTTGATTTTCTGAATATTTTAAACTTACATTAATCTACATTATTTGCTGTTACAGGTGTGGCCCCATCCAAGTCCCCCTTTGGGCTACAGGCTACCTTGCTGAACCACTACATGGGTGGAGCGTACTACATCAGAGGTGGACCTAGTGAGATTGCACTACATGCCATTCCTGTCATAGAGAAGACTGGCGGGCGCGTTCTCGTCAACGCGTTGGTCAATAAGATCATCCTCAATCAAAAGGGCAGGGCTATAGGTAAGATAATGTAAGATTGGTATGCAACACTTTTTTCCTCAATCAAAAGGGCAGGGCTATAGGTAAGATAATGTAAGATTGGCATGCAACACTTTTTTCCTCAATCAAAAGGGCAGGGCTATTGGTAAGATAATGTAAGATTGGAGTGCAACACTCTTGTCCTCAATGAAAAGGGCAGGGCTATAGGTAAGATAATGTAAGATTGGAGTGCAACACTCTTGTCCTCAATCAAAAGGGCATGGCTATAGGGGTTACTGTAGTGACCTTGACATTTGGACACGATCAACAGTAAAGCTTGACCTGCAAGTTCGGTAGAAAGTGAAGGTCAAATTCTAAGATCAAGTTGAAACACAGCAGCAAGATAGGTAGTATGTTAGAATTGCTATGGCAACAGTGAACCTTGACATTCAGACATACGGTACAGGTCAAGTAGAGGTCAATTGAAATGTGACCAGTATTATTGTCATCTACAACCAAGGCTGGGTTATAGATTTACTATGATTTAGGTAGTGACCTTGACATTAAAGCAAGGTCAAATATTTAAAGTGTATTACAACCACGGTAAAGTTTTGTTGATACTCTTGGTATGTGTATTTACCCAATCACCCCTAAAGTCACATTTGAACCTTACCAAATCAAAGACTGGGCTAGTCCAGTTTATGTATGTAGGGGTGAATGAGTTAATAAATGTGGCAAAAACGCCTTGATATTTAAGCAGAGTCAAAAATAAAGGGGCTCGTTCATTTATGCAGAACAACCGATGTGTCTGTTTTTAAATGGAACATTTTCGGTACAAGCCCTAGCGGACCTCCAAATGTTTATGCAGGCCGTGTAAGGCTTTATCTAGGCTCGCCTGAATGCAGCATCTGATTACTAGGTCCAGCCTATTTCATAAACAAATAATCCTGGTCCATCCGGTTTAACTGTTTAGATCACGATAAACAAAAGCGGCCCTGGTTTATAGTTGCTATGCCAACAATGAGTGCAAAGTTTTGGGGTCTGTTAAATAAGGATGACATACATGACCACACAGTATTAATAACGATCAGTGATATCAGATGTGGTTCTGTTACAGGTGTGGAGGTGAAGACAGGGGATGGATCTGCACAGATATTCGCGAAACGTATCATCTCTGACGCCGGAGTATCCAATACCTTTAAGAAGTTACTACCAACGGAAGTGGCACAGAAGTCAAGTAAGCAAGATTTAACATTACTAATAACCACCTTATATTGATATGTGATATTCTAAGAAATAATTTTGAATGTGAACTTTGAACTTATAAGTGAACTGAGTTTTTATGAGGTGAAAAGTCCTAGTTAAGTAAGCAAGTTGTCACATTACCAAAACGGCTTTGAGGAAGAGATTCCTTTTTTGTTTTCATAACAAGAGAATAGCATGAACAATAAAACCAGTTATCATTATCTCCTGTCATAGTTAAAAGTAGATTCACAGCTAATGAGTATTTTAAATAATATTTAATATTGGAAATTTGATTTACATGAGAAATAGTATTATTTTTATCTTATTTGACATTCATTGCTGTGTTTCCAGAGATCTACCCAACAATTAAGAGTGTGGGGAACAGTCTCTCCTACATGTCTGTGTTTATTGGAATGGATGGTTCGCAGGAGGAACTCGGTATCAAGGGACAAAACATGTGGTGCTTCAACAGGTAGAGCACAGGGACCAGGTTCTACACCCTCACATCCAACAAATTAGATAACACAGGGGCCAGGTTCTACACGTTCACGTCCAACAAATAATATACAGCACAGGGGCAACTTTCTACACCTTCAACTCCCACAAATAATATACAGCACAGGGACCAGGTTCTACAACATCATCTCCCACAAATAATATACAACACAGGGGTCAGGTTCTACACCCTCATCTCCCACAAATAATATACAGTACAGGGGCCAGGTTCTAAACTTTCACCTCCCACAAATATTTTACAACACAGGGGCCAGGTTCTACACCCTCATCTTCCACAAATATTATACAACACAGGGGCCAGGTTCTACACCCTCATCTCCCACAAATAATATACAGCACGGGGACCAGGTTCTACACCCTCATCTTCAACAAACAACATACAACACAGGGGCCAGGTTCTACACCCTCATTTCCTACAAATAATATGCAACACAGGGACCAGGTTCTACACCCTCATCTCCCTCAAATAATATACAACACAGGGGTCAGGTTCTACACCCTCATCTCCAACAAATAATATACAGTACAGGGGTCAGGTTCTTCACCCTAATCTCCCACAAATAATATACAGTACAGGGGCCAGGTTCTACACCCTCATCTCCCACAAATAATATACTTTACAGGGGCCAGGTTCTCCACCCTCACCTCCCACAAATAATATACAGTACAGGGGTCAGGTTCTTCACCCTAATCTCCCACAAATAATATACAGTACAGGGGCCAGGTTCTTCACCCTCATCTCCCACAAATAATATACAGTACAGGGGTCAGGTTCTACACCCTCATCTCCCACAAATAATATACTTTACAGGGGCCAGGTTCTTCACCCTCATCTCCCACAAATAATATACAGTACAGGGGTCAGGTTCTACACCCTCATCTCCCACAAATAATATACAGTACAGGGGTCAGGTTCTTCACCCTCATCTCCCACAAATAATATACAGTACAGGGGTCAGGTTCTACACCCTCATCTCCCACAAATAATATACAGTACAGGGGCCAGGTTATACACCCTCATCTCCCACAAATAATATACAGTACAGGGGCCAGGTTATACACCCTCATCTTCCACAAATACCGGTAATATACAGAACAGGGGTCAGGGTCTAATATGCCATCTTCCTATCACCATGAAAGCAATCATACTTTTGTAGAATGCATTTTATAGGGACTGGTATAGTGTATATTCTGTAAAATGAAAGATATGTTGTGTAGGATAAAGGGTACTTTAAATGTTGAAATGATTGCCTTGTGAGTCTTTAAATTTATTGCTTTGTAAAAAAAAATGCATTAACAATGGTTCTGAAATCTATATACATGTTCCTATAAGCTGTTTATAAAATATTCATATGTTGATATTTCAATTCTGGTTAACTCAACTAACATGTGAACTTCTACATTGCAAAAATGTCCACATTTACAAAATAGCATAAAGGGTATCTTGTGCTGCATAGTTATATTTTGTAGTGCCTAGGGCAGGATTTGTAAACTTTGAGATATTAGTTCAGAAAATAAGGAAGTGTAATGAATGCCATCATGGATTTCATCAGTTTTACTTTTGAGTTTGATCGAGTTACATTATTTTTCATCAATTCCCAATATTTCCAAATCTTAGGATTCTTTTCCAAGATTAAAATCTTTAAAAAAGTGTAGGTACATTTGAAACAAACCACAATTATTATCTCATTGCAACAAGTATTTCATTCAACGTAAAAACCACTTATGTGCAGGAGTGACCAGGAGAAGGCGATGTATGAGTGGCTGGATCTGTCTGTAGAAGACGCGGCCGTCTCCGAGGTCCCGCTGATGTTTGTCTCCTTCCCCTCCGCCAAGGACCCTACCTGGGCTAAGCGCTTCCCAAGTAAGGACAAATACAATAATCTATAAAATACCAAATCAAAAGATAGGCATGTTTAATTTTAAAGTTTACCTCAGAACCTCTTTTATATACATGTCTATATATTCTCAGAAATTAAACACAAACACACACCTTTAATTGTTTTTACGTTTCTAGTGATTAAAACATTTGAACAAATTTAGATGTGTATTCTTTGATCCAACGCTAACTATACAAGCTGGATATATATATAGTCTTATGAAATTAAACAGCCAAATGGATATAAAAAACAACAAATTATCTACAATTCAAAATAAATCACAACTCTAGAAAAGTTGTAAGTATTCCAAAGTAAGTGCAAACATTTGCATACATACATTGTAAAACAAAATACTTTTGTTAACTTTATATGGAATTTAGAATTTCTTAAAAGTAGATGACTAAGAGTGTTTCATTATACTACAAATAAAAAACTACGCTCTTTCCCATTAATTATTAGGGCCTTGCATCGTGATGCAGATGCCCTATAGTTGTCAGCTTGTCCATCTGTCTGTCAATTTTTGCTTTTCATAAAGTACATTGTGTATTTATGATTAGATGTCCACCTAATTTGGTGTTTGGCTTCATATCTTGAGTGAAGAGTTATTGGCTTTTGAATGCAAAAATTTAATCGGCTCCTTGGAAGATCTTGGAGTTTAAACCTTCAAGATAATTACTTTAGAACAATGTTCAAGCATAGACAGTACCTTTTGTGCAGTTGCTTCTTAGCCGGGCCTTTCCTCGACATTGGTCTAGTTGTTTTTTGTAAACCCTCCAAATGTATTGTAATCAATGACAAAAAGGAAGAAAACAGAGTCAATGCCTGATTCTACATTTGTACTGACAATGATTTTCCAGATAAGAGTACATGCCTGATCATAACTGTGGGAAGATATGAGTGGTTTGCACGCTGGGACGCTGATAAGGTGAAGCACCGCAGTGACGAGTACGAGGGACTGAAGAATCGCATGGGAAGACAGATGTGGAATCAGCTCACCCTGATTTGTCCTAAGTTGGAGGGAAGGGTGAGTTAAATATGTAACTAGCTAGCTATGAGATCTAAAACATTTGACAATATTTAAGCCACTTGTGTGCTGGCAAGGGTGTATTATTTGATAGCCTGCAGAAAGATTTTGAAAAATTCTAGTAAAATTTTAATTGTATCCCCCACTTTCACTGAAACCGAGGATATTAATTTGGGTTTGTCTATCTGTCTGTCACGTTTCGTTTCCGTGCAATAACTGCAACAAATGTTAACTGATTTTCTTCAAACTTGGTAACAGGTTAAACTGCCTTAAGGGCTCAGCCAAGTTTGATGACCACTTTCAACAGACTTTATTTGCCGGAGTTATGGCCCCTTGAATAACGAAAAAGTCATTATCTGCAGTTTCCGTGCAATAACTGCAACAAATGTGAACCAATTTTCTTCAAACTTATTAACAGGGTTTAATGCCTTAATGGCTCGGCCAAGTTCGATGACTACTTAAATCAGACTCCATTTAGTGGAGTTATGGCCCCTTGATTAACGAAAAACGTCATTATCTGCAGTTTCTGCTTAATAACTCTAGCAAATATTAGTTCCTTCAAACTTGATGACAATGTTTGTGTTCCTCTGTCTTACCACCCATCTCGGGCACTCTTTGGATTTTCGTGTGATAATTGCTGTAGATATTGTGCAGATATTTTAACCAAATCCTGTATGCACATCCGACTCATGCTAAGTTTGCGAACCGATGTGATTTGTGCATATTTACGGATAATTAATGAGGTTAGTAAATTCTGATGGATTAAACGATTAATTTACACTGTAATACCTACATGTTCAATAAAAAGTCTAAATTCTGTATAAGGCTTTTTTTCTTTCTTTGAGTTTCAAGCTATACATTATGTCTCAACAGCACGATACTCACATGTTTAAACCTAACCTCAATAATGTTTACCTATAATATGTCCTGCAAGCGGGGAATATAAATTCCACGAATTCGCTTGTCATAGTTACTTTTGAAAATTTGTATAAGCCCTGACATGAAACCTTCTAGCTCCAGTTGTCACGTTAGTGGAGTTGTACACCCCTGATGGGTAGACAAATGTTGGCAAATGTTGGCAAAATTATCTTGTCATTTTTGGATCTGTGCTCTTTGCATGAAAAATAAAAATAACATAATGAGCAATTACAGAGATATCTTCAGAATACTTCAACCGATTTGTTTAAAAATGTGATAATTTAACTCATTCACCCCTGAAGACACATTTGAACTCTTCCAATTCAAAGGTCGGAATAGTTCATTATTAGATTTCAGGTTACCGGATTTACAAGTCACAACTGTGGACAACAAACATATTAATTCATGGACTTTTCCAATGGTCGTTGTTTGTAACCCTGATTTATGTTTTGAGTTTCTTTTTCCTGCACTACATTGAATTCCTTTAGTCTAGTACAGAAAACATTAACTTTATCCATAGAAATCTTGTTTTGTAGGCTACCTTGCAAACTTAATGTTAAAATGCATAATTCATTTAATATCAAAGTTTTACTTTATACACAATGTACTATGAAATGTGTTGTAAAGTTTTAATACTGACTGGTCCCTTCGTCAAGCTATGACTGAGCAAGGGATTTGTATTGTTTTACCGATACAACGATGTGACGAAATTGTATATATCATATGTCACTTGACAAAGGGACCAGTCGATCTTGAAAGATATGTGTATAAAATAAAAATTTGATATTACATATTTCCAAACTGATGAATCTTATTGAAAGCATCATTCTTTTGTTATAAAACTGATGCCTTTGATTTTGAGGAAAGAACAAATATTTATTTTCTGTTTCTTTCATTGTTAGGATGACTACTTCGAGGTAGGCTCCCCTCTCAGTAACAAATACTACCTCGGGTTTGACGAGGGTGAAATGTATGGACTGGACCATACCATCAACAAATTCCTCCCAGCTGCTGCCATCCAACTCCGTCCCAAGACTGACATTCCAGGGCTCTATCTGACAGGTATGCTCGGATGAACCACCGAACCTATATCCTAAACAAGTCACACTTGTTTCACTCAATCTGTCTTTCTGACCAACTGACTGTCTGTCTTGTATCTTGTAACTTTTCTTTGTAAAATCTTTGTTATACCTTTGTGTTGTTACTTCCAGACAAAACCTCTTTGCTACTATAAACCTTTCTTTGATACTATAAACCTTTCTTTGTTACTATAAACCTTTATTTGTTACTTCCACTTTGTTACTATAAACCTTTATTTGTTACCTCCACTTTGTAACTATAAACCTTTGTTACCTCTTGTTACTATAAACCTTTATATGTTACTATAAACCTTTATTTGTTTCCTCCACTTTGTTACTATAAACCTTTCTTTGATACTATAAACTTTTCTTTGATACTATAAACCTTTATTTGTTACTTCCACTTTGAGACTATAAATCTTAATTTGTTACCTCCTTTTTGTTACTATAAACCTTTATTTGTTACCTCCACTTTGTCACTATAATATTTCTTTTCCACTTTGTTACTATAAACCTTTGTGTTGTTACCTCAGACAAGAATTAATGTTACTATATACCCACTTTGTAATTTCCAGACAAGCACCCTGTTACTATAAACCTTTGTGTTGTTACCTCCATACAAGAACTCTATGTCACTATTTACCCACTTTGTTACTTCCAGACGAGCACCCTGTTTCTATTAATCAACTTTTGTTACTTTCGGACAAAAACTCTGTTACTATAAACCTTTGTGTTGTCACCTGAGATAAGAATTCATGTTACTTTTAATCCAGTTTGTTACCGCCAGACAATGACATTATGTTACTATAAATATTTTTGTAACTTTCAGGTCAGGACATCTTGGTTTGTGGTTTCAGCGGTGCTTTGTATGGAGGCATGTTGTGTGCCTCCTCCATTCTCAATCGTAACCTCTACAACGACCTTACCAAGGTCGTCAAGGAGGTCAAGGCAGCTATTAAGGAGGGCAAGAAGACAGCTTAGGAATTTTGTATATATGTAGTTAGTTAAGTCTTCATAAAACACCAAATAATACGCAAGGAATCGTTGAACCAAAGCCTTGGTAAAATTATTATACCTGTATAAGATATTTCTAATTTAATTCCATAGTTATACATTTACACAAAAAATCCTATTAATTTCTACAGTAAAGTTATGCAGTGTGTTTTAAGTCTCTTCGAAAGCTGAACTGTTGATCAGTATAAAATAATGAAATGTTGACGAGCAATGAACTGTTGGACCAATGTGGCCTGGATATCAGTGTGTGGGAGGATCTTAATGTGGGAGGATCTTAATGGTGGAGGAAAAGGAAGTACTCGGAGAAAACCCATGTGGTCAGGTAGGTGACCCCATACCATTTATGTCCAACCGGGGAATCGAATCACGCTTACGGCCACCTTGATGAAAGGCGAGTGTGTGGTCCACTGTGCCATCTGACCCCCCACTCGGCATATGTTTTGTTAGACCCCCTGAGTCAGGAAGACCAAGTCTGTTATATGTAATAGGAAGTTAATGGTTTCTCATTGAAAATTAAATGTCACTTGAAAGGTTGTGCTGCATATATGTGAAGAATATAAAAATCATCTCACCCTCATAAAATATCTTTGATATCCAATGGGATACCATTAAACTCCTCTATATACTGTAAATTTACATATTTTAGTGGTATTCTTTTTTTTTCTCGTGCTTTAAACATGGCACTAATTTATTATAGTGCTAATTGATGCTTAAATAATTTTCTATTGTACATACTATGAGTGCACCAATTCATCAATGTGCTAGTTTATTAAAATTTGATAATACAGTGTGTGCTAAAATTTGTATCCATTAAAATTAGTAATCTTACGGTAAATTATAATACATTATAAATTCTGAGGAAAAAAATTGCCAAATTGAATAAACAAGTTTAAACTTACTGAAAATGCCTTGAAAAATAATCAAAAAAGCTATTTGTTTATTTTTGTGTAAAATGTTGTTTTGTATAATATGTAACACAGTTTAATTTCCATGACAACAAGTGAAAAGGAAAAGGTTTTTCATATTAATAACAAGTTGTTTTGAATTGTAAATCACTAATATTTAATAATCATTCCACAATAACATTAATCATATATTTAAATGAGAGATATATATTTGTCAATTTATTTACATTTGAACAAATTTAGATTGTTGTTAAAGTATAGTTTTGAAGAAAAAAAGCGAATTTGATGAATGATGAAAGCGAAAAAAAAACCCATTCTCATTTAATGGAAAAAATATTTTTTTTGTTGTTATTTTTTGTACTATGAGGTATGAACAGTTGGGAAATATTTCTCTGGATGTGTATGGTGTATTATTTATGATAAACATTCAACTTATTGATATTACCGTACTTTGGGATGATTTGGTTGTGGTATTATTTTGGTTTATTTGGCACTTGGAGTGAATCTGCCAAAATTAAACACTCGAAAATTTGATGATGCTCCAATTATTGACATTCGTGGTCTATCTTTTTCATGTTAAGCAAAACATGGAATCGTCCTTTTTTTTGCAAGATTAACGCACTCCCTGCATAACACGTCAATAAGGGTAAGTGCTGTCATCTGAAGGTGTCGTAACTATTCAGTGTTGACATAACCTTTGTTGTGTTCAAGGGTATACAGATTAGTATCGCGTAATAATGTGTTTTCCTGGTAGTGTGCAGTCAGGTGCGACGAAGTATAAAACACTATATATTTATGGAATCTAAAAACAACTCGTATCATACTGATAAGTTCAATAAGATTCATCAGTTTGGAAATAGGTAATATCAAAGTTTTACTTTCTACACAAATATTGTATGTATTAAACTTGTAGCAATGTCCCTTTGGTCATATCTTGACAAAGGGACCAGTCGGCCTTGAAACATGGCGACACGTTTTAAGTTGAATATGTACATCGTTTGTGTAGAATGTAAAACTTCGATGTTTCATACTGATATGTTTTCAGTAAAATACCTAGGAAAAAAAGCTAAAGAGGTTCGCATGCTGTCCTTCAACCACCATCAGCTGCACAACTACGGTAACGACATAGACTGATGGAGGTACTACGGTAACGACATAGACTGATGGAGGTATTGGAAAGCACCAAACTGTAGCACACAGGATCATCAAAATATCCCAAAGTACAGTACATTTGTTTTAGGTGAACTACTTTTTGTACATGCCTGTTTGATAATCATATCTTTTGATATGTTTGTTTTAATGAGTTATTTAATCAGGTGGGTTTTTTGTGGGCATTATGTGATTTATTTAAAAAAATAAAAATAATTTGATTTTTCTTCATGTTTAAGATATGTAAATAAAAGTTGAAAAGTTTGATGTGTATGGAAATGTGTCATTTGACCTGGATGATGATTAATAAACCCGTAATGTGTGGCTCACTTTATCCGACACCTAAAACCACAGGGACCTGAGAATTTGTTACTGCTATATTTGGACATATAAACAAAGGTGTTCAGAGTAATTTAACATGATTTAGGAGTTAAGATCAATTTTCGGTAAAATGTCACCCCCAATGATGGTATGTTCAGCGTGATTTTACATACTTTTGGGGTTTAGATCAATTCTGGTAAAATGTCACCCCTAATGATATACCACCACCCCCAAATGATGGTACATGTATACCATTTGAGGTGGCATTTTTACCAAATTTATTACACACCCCGTTTTGATATTGATTGTACTTTGTATTATCCAATGATTGCTCAACATTATGAAATAGGGCAGAAGATTTCAAATATAACACTTAAATTTCTCAGGGTGAAACTTTCACATTGTTGCAGTGTTTACATTTCCAAGTACACTGCTCACTGCCTTTAAGTTCATGATAATTTTAAATTTGCAAATAGTTGAGGAGATTTAGGAATTTGTGGGTTTTGTAACCCCTCATAAAATGTAGTCATTATGCGTGGTAATTGCAGTTTATGGAATACTCCCCTTGATTGCACTTCAATTCATTATTTTGTGAATTTTTCCGATTTTGCTGACATATTTTATTATGTACGTAATCTGAAAAACTTGGACGGTAAATGGACCAAGTCAATACACTGCTCAGGTAGTGGATATCTAGTGCAGGGTTACAGGTGTGAATTGTATTCTTGCCCAATATGTTTTTCATCTGTTATTTTAAGATGGCTTAAATAAAGATGTCAGAAACACATCAGACTTTAAGTAGATTGCTATTATTACGATCACAACGCTTGCTCTTAAACAAATAAATATTATAAAAATTACTCTAAAAGTGAAACTATATGTTGATTTTTTTATTTTTTTTAACAAATCCAGAAAAACAGTTGTATTTGTAAATTAATATGAAAATGAGGGTGAAAGATATTGTCCCAAGAAATTTTTGTATATTGTATTATACCATTTTTTTCTTCTTCAGAAAACAGTTATAAACAACTGTTACCAGGTACATATAGTTAATGATTCAGATGTAGTCATAAATAAAATGATATTACCGGTAGCAGTGTGACATGAAATGTTTGTGGGTTCTTTCTGTGGCATTCTTCCATTTATAAACTACTGCTCCGATACAAAATTTCTCTGTTGGTTCGGAACATTGAACTTGAGGTAGCTAATCCATGTTTCGTGGACTGATATTCTGAGTTCTATTGTCACCACATAACCTAATTGTCACCACATAACCTAAAATAACATGCAATATGTAGCAAACATTCATGTGATTCAGTATACCTGGGTTATAATGCAGGTATGATTTTGTACCTATACTCGCAAACTTTGTTTGATTTTGTTTTCATTTACATATTGATGGCTGGTATAGGAAATTGATCATGTGGGTTGTTTTTATGATTCTTTTTTATTATGCACAACTACATTGTACATACATGATTTGTGTTTGAAGATTTCTTTTTCAAGACATGATTTCATTTTATATCAAAAAACAAAAAGGATGATTTCATAACTGTGATTAATTCCTTATATCTGTACTAATTGTGATATGTTGTAATTTTTTTAAAAATCCAAAAACAACTGTAAAAGATGTGGATTAATTAGGTTGCCTTACGAGCATCAGCTGTAGGGAATTTCCCTTTTAGCTCAGCGGTAGAGCATCGGGCTGGAGAGCCAAGGGTCGTGGGTTGGAGCCCCAGCAACAGCACTTTTTAATCACCATTTCTCATCCTATTACGCAACAACTAAGATATTAATAATTCAAAAATTGTCATAAGTTTCCCTGCACATATCACAGTTAAAAGCGTATGGATATGACTCGGCTAACTAATTAATCATTTCTTTATTACGTAATCTAGAGCCTGGCTACCTTGGTGCTTTAATTTATATAATTCTCTTGATATTAATATTGCTACTACCTGTACCTACTCTTGCCAAATATAGGGTATACAAACACATTGTATAATGTTAATTGACGAGTTTCATCTTTGTTTGTTTGAACTCCAACAAGAGTTGTCAAGTAAATTGTTAGAAAGTTGTATATTAAAATTTGACTGGTATTGTTCTTTGTTAAAAATTATGTTTTTCATTTTATAATTCCAAACACAAAGACAACTTGTAAACACTGTGCAAACAAATCCCTGGAGATAGATTCAGTGCTGAGGTTACTGGTATTCCACGGTTTCTTTCCTGTGCAAGCAAGACGAGAATTTTCAGATCTAATCTTATCTCCTTCCAGAAGAGCTCTTCGGGGCTTGATTCCCTCGAAGCAATATATCCTGTAATTTTGTTTATGCTCTAAAAAATATGTTATTATTTTATGAAATGGAGCTTCATTTTTTTCTGCAAGTTCACAGAAAAGCTTTCAATTAAAACAAACTGCTGTTTGCAGTGTCCCGTTATAAATGTTCCTGAGAAGAGAATGTTATGTCAAAGAGAAATTCATTGAATTTAAATGGTCATAGATATAAATACACATATGTACATATATGATACTAAATTTTCTATTTATTGATATATTTTTTCTATTCTGTCAAGAATTCTTTTCCTTTGTCAATACTCATAAATGATTTCTTATATAAAATTGAATAAAATATGTGGAGGACTTTCTTGGTTGTTTTTTTTCAGTCTGAAAATCATACTTAGATGAAACGTCAATGGAACAAATATTTGACTTCACTTTTTTTATGAGTGCTTACTGCTTACTTTTTAACGACGAAAGACGCATCCTGTTCCAAAATTTGAATGCCTTGTACGTGTCTGGTAATACCCAACTTTCGGTAGAAACCAATACAAAAGTTTTTAAACAAGTTCATCATTACATCAAATCTAGCAATAGGTTTTGATAATTATAATTATCATTCCTTATTTTTATTTATATGTGTACGTTGTTATATATTTTCATGAAATTGCATTTCATTAATTTGCCTGATTACTTTATTACATTGATCTTGTTCATTATAAAATTACTATACCGGGCTGCATGTCATGAAATTTTGTATAATATATGATTTATTCAAATGCGGATCCTTTTCACAGTTTACACGATTTCTTTTCTAGGTTACCCCCCATTCCCTATCCCCCCTCCCCTCCACCCCCTTCCTTCTCCACCCTATTCTCCTCCCACTCCCCAAAAAACATATACATTGTATTTACCATATGTATTTAGGAAAGGACTTTTATTAAGTTGTAATAACTTGTTGTCCAATCCATTTGTATATTTGTACAATAAAATGTTTAAACTAAACATTTAATGACAAAGGTATCAAACTGTGCTATGATGATTAAGGACCCCCGTACCACAACCAAAAACTAACTAAGGCTACATTCGCGTATCCTGGTTGAAACTACGTGTGGCGCAGAAATAATTTAATCCACAGTTTCGAAGAATAAAAAACAGTGTTTCAAGAATATTATGACCTTCTTTCATCCGTCCACTGAATTACATAACGTATCTTAAATACTACATGTGACTTGACATTGTTTTAGAAACAAATAACGCAAAATGGCAATAGTTAGCATTTAAGGTTCGGTCAGGCATGTCTGGACTCCTCAATCTACACGTGCCAAATTATCCTGAGGTCAGCCTCGGTACAGATCTGTACCTGTCGTTTTCTTTACAGGTTCAACCGGTATCGTGAATGTACCCTAGGTATTGGAGACTGTTTAAGGATCCCTGTACCACTGC